ATTGAACTATATAAACAATGTTGGGACAATAATCCTACTAATCGCCCAGAAACAAAATTAATTTTCGATACTTTGAAACAATTTAATCCTAACGATACTTTGAGTCAACACCATCCCATTGGTGTATCAACTCAAGATAGCAATACTTTCTCAAATCGTCAAAATAATCCAACTTCACTTGTAAATCCACTCGCTAATACGACTTCATCTCCACTTTATTTACCTGATTTAAAAGTTATAACGCAAACCTTCACAACTGGTAATTTTTTTGATTTGTTTAGCTTATTAATTTGTTGCTATCTTTACCTAATCACAATACATTTCATCTTTCAAAAATGTACCGTACAGCATCTAGTAATGATGTATCTCGTAATGTTGTATCTCGTAATGCTGTATCTAAAAATGATGTATCTAGTAATGCTGAATCTAGTAATGCTGTATCTAGTAATGTTGTATCTAGTAACGCTGTACCTAGTAATGCTGTATCTAGTAATTCTGTATCTAGTAATGTTGTATCTAGTAACGCTGTACCTAGTAATGCTGTATCTAGTAGTGCTATATCTAGTAATTCTATATCTAGTAATTATAAGATGAGAAACATTGACGAATTTGATTATCTTTTTAAAGGTATGACTTGTGGTTAAGGAATTCGAACAAATATGCGTATACGAAAATTCTCTCATTTGGTTCGTTATTGAATCCATCGCTAAAAGCCATTGTTTAAAATCGATATGTTATTATACAAATTACCAAACAAAGATCATATGGCTTGCATTTTGTTGAGTTTAAGAAACAACGAATTCATAGATAGTATCATAGATGGCGCACTACCTAGCATTAGATTAATTTCTTTTTTTTTTTTTAGTTATCTTAACTGGTGACTCTAGGGTCGGTAAATCTAATCTTCTTTCACGTTTCACTCGTAATGAGTTCAATTTGAAATCCAGGTCAACTATTGGTGTTGAATTTGCTTCCAGGTGTATTCAAGTAGATAATAACATTATCAAAGCACAGTTTTGGGATACTGGTAATAATTTTAAAATATTATATTAATTCATTTATTCTTTTTGACCACGATTCTGATAATTGATTATCTTCTAAAAGCTGGCTGTGAGCATTATAGAGCTGTTATAAGCGAGTAAGTAATTTTTATCGGGTTACGCCAACTCAGCGTTTTAGTATAATCCAAATTTTACATTTTACTATGATTATCACAGATATTACCGTGGAGCCGTCGGCGCTTTACTTGTTTATAATATCACCAAATATGTAACATACGAAAATGTCAAATGCTGGTTGAAAGAATTAAGAGACTATGCTGACAGTGATATTGTCATTATGCTTATTGGAAATAAGTGTGATTTAAAATTTTTGCGAGTAGTTTCTACTGAAGAAGCCAAGCAATTTGCTGGTATGTTTATATTAATGTCTGTTAGTTTTTTTTTTTTTTAATGTTATTGTATTAAATATTTTCATGCAATATAAATTCTATAAGAGGAGAACAATCTTTATTTCATCGAAACTTCTGCTTTTGATGCTATTAACGTAGAACTTGCTTTCCAAAACATTCTAACCGGTAATTTTTTGCATTGTTTCAGCTTGTTAATTTATTGCTATCTTTATCTCATTACTATAATATTCCATTTTTCAGAAATTTACCGTAGAGTATCTAATGTATCTGAATCTAGTAATGCTGTTATATCTAGTAATTCTATATCTAGTAATTATAAGATGAAAGGCAGAGTTAAACATCCGTTGTTCTCAATATTCTCAAGATTCAAAAAAAATTGAGGACTTTATATTTGAAGTTCATTTTCTTTTTTGAGAACAATCCAAGAACATAAAATT